CCTTCCCCTCCTTCCCCTTCTTCCTCCCTTACTCCTCCGTCCATACGGATATCCTGTCAGTGAGTAATATTTGATTTCTCGATGACGATTAATTTAAGGATTTCGCGCCCCAACTCAGTTTTAAAGGACTCTAGCAATAGTACACGAGATTCTGGGCGGAGCTATTTGAGGTTTTATTTTCATGAAGATTATTTCCCATTAGTATCCCAGTGAGTAATTCCCATCTTAATATTTATTAACATTATTTTTGCAGTTCTACGACCATCTATGTCGTCTCGAGACGATGATCGACGTCTCTTCGAGCATTTTGTCATAGCTGGGCTATCTCAGGTGCGACTTAATCACGTGTGAATCGATATGAAAAAGTTTCGCTCGAGAAATCACATCTGTAGTGAACAGGCTTGGAACTTAACTCATAGTTGAAGAGCAGTAGGCTCCGAATAGTTATCAACACTTATGAATTGTTATTTTTATCGGTACTTAATGTACTATAACACAAAAGGTTGCTAGGGGAACTTCAAATGGCGAAGTACTTTGATCAGGAAGAATTGATTTTAGCTAGTAACTACTCGTTGTAGTTAGTATGCATTACTTTGATGAGAATCGTACTGCCATACTTTTATTGATGATAAATCATCTAAGTTCTTTGGAATATCTTAGAATGACCTAATCTTTCGTCTAAGATTTCAGGAAGCTCCAGAGCAAGCCACTCCCTCCACTCAAGAGTTTGGCTATCGAAACAGTACACCTTTAGCTCCAATTACCGACATATGTGTTATTTTCCCCAGCCTCGGAGAGACGGTAAATTTTTTCGTGTCATGAAGTCTAGCGCTCACTTTCCTTAAACATCTTACAGGCACCCGAAGGATACGAAATCATAGAGACTACTCAGTTAGGATATCCTGCAGATTTGAATCATGGCTCTATACGAATGCCTAGTGTTTTTCTTTGTTATCGGAGGGGATACCATAAGCCGCCATTGCTCGATATAGGACTCATTGAATATGGTAAACTATCT